TTGAAGCGAGAAAAACTTTGACAAAATTTAGTGACAGAAAGTTGACATAATTTCGATACCACTGGGAACCGTATGCAGTTGAAAGCGTTTGAAAATTCACGACACGCAGTCAAAAAAGCTATAGGGAAGGCAGCTGACAATCGATATCGCATGCTGCAACTATGCTCGACGGTGACAGTATTTGGAAAATAGCACGTCAGCACTTTGTTACACAGCAGCACTCGATATGGATTCGAAAATTACCACAAGGTTATCGAAATTGTAGGTTACCGAACAGCGCTCGATATGAAACACGGAAAAGAAACACTGCGAAGAGTCTTACCGCTTTTCTTCTCAATCACGTAGCAAGCACTGTAGAAGTCATGGAATATCGTAGCAAGTTGATAAAGGTAGTCGCATAGCTGAAATAAAGAGACTCCAGAAGAGAGCTTGGTTTCTTTTAATATAAAATGAAGCCGGAAATTCCAAGAGAACAAACCTGATGAAGCATCAGTGAGTCTAATACTTGCAGGATACAGTCAGCCAACTTGAGAATCTGCTTCGCAAGCGTCAACTCCGCAGGATGGGTGATTGGGATGGTCGGATTGCTCGCGATGAAGTCATTGAGATCTTCAGCAGCAACGCCGGATGTCCGCACGATAGATCTGGAGAAATTGAAAGAACAATGTCGCCTCTCACACTTACCAACACTAGCATCAGAAGGCGATTACGTTAACAGGAACTGGTTTTGGAAAAAGTGCTCCGAAGCCAATTCTTATTAACCAGTGCATCAAAACTACACTCTAGTTCGCTGCGGACGGTTGGGCGTGTCAGGCAGTATGAGTGTTCACAGTGTCAAAGCCGTTCTCTGCCTTCTTGTTGAAGCGCGCATGCGACAAATAGTGGTAGAAAACCAGTTATAACGATATGATACAGTCTTATCACTTGCTCGCTTTAACAACTGGTGGAGAACGGGTTTGGCACCGCGCCAAACTCATCCCGCCTGACACGCCCAACCGTCCGCAGCGAACTACACTATACTTGAGAACCATACTCCAACCTTATTCTGGCGTACGCATACAGCAGGTAAACGGCGGTGTTCCCCTTGTCATCAGAGCATCCGTATGCAATGAAAACACATAAGTCCTGGGTCCGTGTATGAGATAGATCCGCGTATTTGATGCAACCATAGGCTACAGCGTCACGAGCAGCTGCAAGCTCAGCCTCATTCATCACCTAAACAAACACCTTTAAGTACGCTGATCTTTCTTCAAAGAAGATAAAGATAACAATAGATTTGATCGGGATTATTTTTGCAGGCAGCGGCAGTAAGTGTAACGACGTGGAACTCTGGCTTTACACGCCGACCAAGACGGCTCTGGCGAAGGCGAAGACGCCGAAACGTTGGCCTAATAATACTTCAATTTTGTTGAGGCTCGAAGGCAAACTACATCGAATATCATCATGCCATAGATTGCAGAGTAAGTCCGAACATACCGGACGCTGATAACGAGTTTGCGGAATTCCCGTCCTAATTTTCCGAGGCCTAAGCTAAACAGCTAGGGAAAAGGTATGAGGTCAATCATATCCTACCTGTTATTGTGAATCCAATTTGTCAGTAATTGGCATTTCTATGGATGTCATCGCTGGCGAACGCAAGCTGGATAGACGCAAAGTTGGATGTCATCTCATCACTATGGGAACCATGAAGACTACGTGAAAGTTTTTATCGTGTCGTCTTTTCTCAGTTCCAGTGTAAAGGCTGCTTCGGGAAACGACTAACAGATGGAAGGAGCAATGTCCGAGCTATGACAAGTTTTAGAGCAAAGGAAGAGCAGCGGAGGAAGAAAGTAAAACTGGCGCGTGCGCTTTCGTCACCGTTCTTTTGGCAAAGTGGGACACTGGCAATGTCGTAGCTGAAAACAAACTGTGGCAGAAAATTGCTTCCCTCGATCTCGGCTGGCTGCTTGAGAAAGTCGTAGGGCCCATGAACGCAGCATCTATATCCAATATTTTCAGGCACAGCTCCCTCAATATGAGTTCAGATAGACATTTAGACTTCAACACTGTGATGACGTCGTGCAAGTTTATCCGCTAAGCGCACGTAGCCCTTTTTCATCGCCTTGTTTCGGCGTTGACATCTATCATGCTCGAGCCAGAATCGTAGGAGAATAAGTCCAGAGAGCAGGTGCTGACTATCCGAAACGAAATTATTGTCCATATTGCCAACGAAAGTGAGTACCATTGCTAAAGCAAATGAGCAGACTCAGAATCCCGTCTGTTTTGGACGTCTGCATTCATGATATAAACGCTTCGTGTAAAATCCGACAATATGCATTCTATAAGATCTGAGCAAGCATCAAACTCTTGGAGGATTTGAGGATTTCAAAAATTTGAACGGCTATCAATTCAACTATATTTAAGTCACTATGAAAAGTGGACTAGAGAAAAGGTCGATAAAGCTTACCTCCGCTCTTCCCTTCTCCTCCAGTTTAGCAGCTGCCCGTTTAACTCCCTCATCTAGAAGATCGAGAAGACGAACAGTTTCACCAGATCTAGTTTTGAACTTCTTCCTGAAAAATATGCAAAATAAAGTAAACAAATTTGATGTTACCTTTATTGTCACAGTACTGCAATTAATCGTCTCAATCCACAAGGTCGTACTCGGTCATAGCAACGCGGCCGCAAACAAACTTCGTCTAGGCACGGCAAATGGCGCGATTTATCACACCAAAAAATGATAGCATAAAAAGCCCAGCAGTATGTTGCAGCCACATTTTTTGGCTAAGCGACTGCCACGAAGCGGTTTAAAACCTAGACTAAGAATGAGTGGAATTTGATCCTCTCCCCAAACCGCACTCCATACAACTCACAACATTTCAGCAATATTCGTTTCTGCGCGAGAACAACTGCGGAACACAGATGGATTCACCTAGCAGGAATACATGAAAAACACTGAGTTTCAAAACAATAAACACAAACCTATCTTCTCCAAGAACAAGTCCGAAGGCCACATGCTCAACGCGCTGTCGTGAATCTTCATACCAGCCAAGTTCGCGAGCAGCGGCGAAGACGGTCTAAATAAGTATTTAATAGTGTTGGGACACTGTGGAGGCAAAAATGGGGAGTCGTAACCTCTAGATGTAAGCTTTGGCCAGCGTCAACAACATAGACAACATACAACCCAGTCCGCTTTTTTCTCGTGCAATCGGTATCGCAAAGCAGCCAAATCGGAAGTGTCGTAGGTATAACCTCAAATGAAATATTTCCATAGAAGTCCTGATGGATCCTAATTTGTGAGGGCTGCTGAGTTTACTAGATGTATATATGTTGTGACGAAATTCATAGGGCTCGTTGCAGGAACACTGGAGAGTTGTCACAAGAATGCTGATTGTATGGCAATAGTCTCGTGCCAGACGGGAATCGAACCCACATCTTCCTTTCCCGGGCACTGCGTTATCCAATACGCTACCAGGACCACTCTCATCCTCTCAACATAATGGCATTTTATGCCATAAGCCATAATGGGAAGTTGGTTCTCACAAGTTGATTGCGGGTTTAGGGGGGGGGGTGGACGATGTGGACAAGACGCTCAAATATCCGGTTAGGGGGAGGGGGGGGTGGACGAGGGTGGACAAGCCCTTCAAATATGGCGGGTTAGGGGAGGGGGGGGGGGGGTGGACAAGAACGCTAATGGTTGAGAGAAAATGGTAAAAAAGCTGATAGGGAGGGAGATGGAATGTGGATAAAGTAACCTGTATGCGCTTTTGTCCACCAGATTCCGACAGATATGATTCAAGGCAACGCATTCTTACGGGTTGCAATACAAGTTAAATTCTTATTATCTTGGCAGGACTGTCGTAATACTAGAGGGCTCCCAAGCCGATTAGTGTCAAAAAAGAATGGGTATGCTTGTTTACACGAGATATGACATCACCACAGCGAACATTACCACTTACACACAGGATACCTGTTATAAACAGATATAACACCCCCTCAAACAAAGACACTTTAACGGCTACTTTCACAGGTTGCTTAGGATACGCGTGAGTCATAGAGGTTTTGCGCCAACTTAGAGAGAATGACAGGCAAAAGGAAAGGTTTTGGCGACACTCGTGGAACAGATGTCCCAAAAGCTTCAATTCACAGAGGGCTACCGAGTAGTGCACACAAAATTCAATCATGGAAAATACGTGATAAAAATCTCAGACCTCCATCGCTCTTCACAATGGTCAGCGGCACTTCGCATTTCTCCGGGAAATATAGGAGACGCCCTTCTTCCTCTCGAAAACGATCCAATTCTACAACAGGAACACTGTTTGTCCAACACTGCATTTAGCCTACTAATCAAAAACTCACTAGTTTTCTTCAAGTCGTCCACCAAAGTAATCATCATTTTTTGATAGAACGACTCTCCCACATCTTCCAGTACAATGTCAAGTCGATCGTAGACGATCTGGTTGTCTGTAAAAACCAACCGGGCAGATCTAACAATGCGATTACACAACAAAATAAAATTAGTCGTTCTCACATTTCTTCGAGATGTTACAAATCATAGTCCAATGCATTCACGATTTCTGGATCATAACTCTGCAGCTTTACAACGCAGTCATATGCGCGTTTCTTGAATTCTGGATCATCATCAAAACGCTTCTTGGACTCCTGCACAAAATGAATTAGAGCAAGCTCCTGGAAATCGAAACAACGTAACGACTTCACCTTGTAGAAAGCTTGGAGATCGCTAATAGGTGGTGGTTGATTCATAAAATCAGGATACTTATCATAGAGGTACGCGATGAGCATCCCAAATTGCGTTCCCCAATCGCCAATGTGATTAACTCGGAGAACCTAAATAGTGGATCGTTACAGAAAAGCGCATGAAAACTCGTTTTTAACACGCTGTTGTGTAGACTTGGGACTTACATCGAAGCCGACATGTTCGAAAAGACGACAAATGGAATCTCCAATGATTGTTGACCGGAGATGACCGACATGCATTTCCTTGGCTATGTTCGGTGACGAAAAGTCGACAACGACTCGCTTTGCTTCTATTTTTGGCAGTTGAACCCCCTGAAATAGTGTAAATAAATTTAAACAATCAGTATTCCATGAAGACCAGAGAAAAAATGCAAAAATGGAAAAAGTGGTCTCGTCTACCTGTCTGCCTGCCTGTCCGGAAAGTCGATATCACCTGAAGGGCCAATTTGATGGGTCAGGCAAGGGAGGGATGGGTAAGGCCTGGGCCGAGATGCACGGAGCATACATGAACTGAGCCAAGCCCCGCCCACCGTGGGCGGAGCGTGCGATTGGCCAGACGCCACTTATTTCCTTGTCCCACTATATATCGGCTTCGTCTGTCTGTCTGGAAATTCGGCATCCTGACGGGCCAGTTTGAGGGGCCGGTTCAAGAGAGGATGGGTAGGCATGGTTCGATGCGCGGAACACACAACATAGCCAAAGAGCAGAACTATGCCAAGCCCTGCCCGCTGTGGGCGGGGCGTGCGGTTAGCCAGAGCCACCTATTTCAGTTCGTAACTCTATTCTAGATAAACCCGAAGAGCGAGAAAGTTGGGAGACGATAAGAGATGGGTCTCATCGTCAATTCTCTTTTATGCACCACGGTATCTACATCCCACTGAATTCCTTATGGGAAAACGGCAATTAAACATCAGGTTCAGGCATTTCCTCCTGGTTGGTCGACAGGACCACTATCTCTCTCTCTCTCTCGAAATGAGCTTCCTGCCTTGACCGAGAACGTTCACTGCTGATAGTCTAATAGTACTTTACTGAAACATTCACTGCTGTTAGTTTAGTAGTACTTTACTGAGACCTTCCCCAAGAATATGCTCACACTTACATTTGCTCTCTATGATCCACAACTAGGCACTTTAAGAATCCCTTTCAAACGATATCGTGGATGATTTAGTGAATTTTGTCGGCGGTACCGTGACGAAAACAATGTAATTTTTTCTTTCCACCACTTATATAATCAATTTCTGCAAATCTTTCCGCAGTGACGCTCTTCTTCAGCATTTTTCATTCTCCGTATTCATTTCCTCTCGCTTCCGCTTCTCCGATGCATTCTTAGACAGAGCTGAATCTCATCGTTAGCAACAAGAGAGACGCCTCAATAGGTTCCTTCGTTTTACTTTCTCAGCTCCTCTGCACTTACTTCCGAGAGATTAGCTAGTTAATCTATCGCTTTTCAGTCTTCAGCTCTCCAGTTGCACAAGCTAATTAGTTCGTTGCTATACCAAAACACTGCGCCGTAGCACTCTATTGAACTGAGAAAGCACTATGCAGCAATACCGACACTTGACAGGCAAAAGTACAGTCTCACAGTCACAGGATTAATCATAATCGATCATAATCGCATCTTGATCTAGCCTTTCACACACTCTCACAGTCAGCGCAGCGGACCACACTCTCATGGTCAGCAACGGAGTTACTCAAGAAAGCAAGCAAGTTAATATGGGCTGCACTTTCACTTTTGTTGGCAAAACTGAAAATATGAGCTGGGGGCAAAGGATTCCATCATCAAGCGTGAAATAACGTTCCATACTGCTCTGAATAAAGCACTGCCAGCTCGGAACCGAAGCGTTCGAAACAAAACGAAGAAATTTGTTTACCTAATCAAATGCTATATGAACGAACTATTGCCGCGTCTATACTTTTCGTCAGCGTACGCCAGCGTACAGCAGCAAGCAGTTTTGCTCTAGCTAAAAATGCCCATGAAAACTCTGGCAGACGCTGAAGCGAAGTACGAACGTAGCCCAAGTGAGAGTCGCCAGAAAGAACTACCTTCGAGGCGATCTTTCCTATTTGAGCTTCTATGAATGATCTGTTGAGAAAGACATTGATGAATCCTGCGGGTACGACTTCAATCTAAATTCATCAATAAGAAGAAGGGAATGTCAGCTAGAAAACGAAAAACATACCTTTTCAATCAAATCGCATGACGGGACCTTTGATTTGATTTCACTGGCAACGTCAGATGGCCTCATAACAGTGCCATTTCCCTTCAGTTTCTAAAAAACGAGCATAACATAAACACATTACATCAAGGGGCTCTATGCAAGTGCAGACCGCCGATATTGCCATTGCTGAATTGCATTGGTAGTCACCAAACTTCGGATTCGTGGTTTCTGTCAAAGCTACGGAGACGTTATCAATTGTCGGAAAAGCCTAAACTGTGAAGCTTCCCACATGAGACAAGGTAGTTCCATCTAACTATGTCTTATGAAAACTACAGAAAGAGGGTCACCTCTTTGATAGCGTGTTTGAACAGATCTGACAGCCTGCTAATGATGCTAGAGCCGTAATCCTGCACAATGACGTAGCTATGCTTCTTCGGCTTTGCAGTGGCACTGCTGCAAAAGGGAACATTCCTAGAAGCTGGTCAAAATCGCGGCCTTCCCGCCGAAGCCTCACCTGCTCGCCCCTTTCTCCTTTTTTGCAACCGGGGCTTCATTGTTGACAGACGGTTCTCCTCCACTGTGTTTAGCACTTTTTGATGCAGAGCATCCCTTTGCTTTGTTGGACGCAAGCTGTTCAGCAAGGCTCTGAAGAATTCTGATAGATTAGATAACGTATGAGTGCATATTTTTTCCAAACATGTTCGGTGACCAAACCTTTTCTAGAATAATTTTCCTATACTTCAGCTTCTCCTGTTGCTTGAAGGCTGGAGCGAGCTCAGGACACGCTTCGAGGACTTCATCGGTAATCTCTCCCCTCTGCATAGCATTTACGATGCGTTCTAGTCGAGACACTTCAGCCGCCTGAAGTAAGACACATTTTGAATGAAGTCTACGCAGCAACCCTAGAACAGCTTGACGTCATGACCACTCCTCAGGAGAGCCCATAAAGCAGATAGCGCTCTCAAAAATGGTGAGTTATGCGACTCCGATAGAATAACACGGTGCAATGTGATGTAGTACAGATAAAAACTGGAAAAAAATCATAGGAAATGCCCTACATAGAGCCCCGGAGAAATACCGGACTGAGGTTTACGTGCATAAGGCGAAGAAAGGGCGTGATCGGACGGGTTCCCACTTGTTTAGCTATCTCTTTTTCCTTATCACCTAGCTCCCACCATTCGAAGTGGAGAGTGTTAGCAGCGGAGTAACCGCACCATCACATAATAGCTGAATTGAAGGCTGAGCGTAGCGGCAGTCCGTGGGTGAGGCCGCAGTTCCTTCACCTTGGGCTGTGAGAACGCGGACTCTGTCTCTAGGGCCCATATTCTAGAACAGTAGAAAATACCACGTAATTCTGCTAAGGACACTGACAAAATTTTGCCTGCTAGTGAAACGTTTCAACGGATTCACTGCGTAGCGCCATTTTGTAGAAGAAAAAAAACTACTCGTTAAAAATAGGAAAGTTGTTCATCTCTGCCGGACGATTCTCAAAGCTACATTAGGTGGTGGGCCAACTGCTTTGAACCCGCTAGTTTACAGTTCAACAGCTCCAACCTGCTCAGGTCTATGAAGCCTTCCAAACCTCAATACCTATTTCACGAGGTTCGCACGTTACGCCGACTTCACCACAGGCACGCTCTCCTCCATGGCATTAATCCTCAACGATATCAGGAAAATTCGAATGCGCAGTGTATCCCACTGTTACTAGTTAATGACTGGCATCATCATCCATAATGGACAGATTTACGAAGAGTAAATTCAGTAACCTTCCATGAAAATTCGTTTCCGTTATATCGAAAACGACGAGCAGCGTAGTCGTTTATTAGATCCAAGCGAAAGCCGAACGAATAGTGAATCATACTCGACAAACAGTCTTTTATACAGGAAATGATCTGGTATCGCCCAGTACTACTATTACTTAGAGTAAACTACAACTAGCATTCCTCAACAATTTGCAAGGGTGCCCATGTGTTATAACCGCTACAATGTAAGAAGGCACTTACACTGCTGCTGCAGAGCTCGAAGTAGGACTGCATCTCCGTTCGCGGCCAGACACCCGCCACCAGTAAGAAGCCATTTTAGCAGCTGCAGCCCAGAACAATTTCGCCCGTAGTAAGCAAAGCGACCCCGGAACCGACAAAAAAACCTATCAAAATATGCAAAAACGATAGAAATGGAAACACCAACAAGACTAGGAAAAAAAAAGTTATAGCGCAAGTTTTATTTAATCCATTAGTTTTGTGAGAACTAAGGTCCGAACAACATGATAACATGAATGAGTTCACAGTGCTTCGGATAATTCTCATAACAATCAAACTTCAACAGAAAACGATTTGTACATTCCGTAATTTCGAAAGGGTTTGTATGAAGAAGCAGTTTGCCGTTCAGAATTCGACCTTCTTAATCAAAAGGTAGATGTTGGAGTCCAGTTCAAACCCGTGAAGGTTGAACGCCTAAAACTGCAAATTTCAAAAGAGCGAACATTATTAAAGATGTCGAAGTTGTCCACACCTCTCCCTTCAACCTCATAAGGAGGCCACCAAAAGACGCATAGGCCGCAATTCTGCTACCATCAGATCCGCTATCGTCTCCTTCAATTCGGTAAACTCGTCCGAACATTACATACTCGAATTGCGCGACTCGTGAATAGTTGGCCTGTAAATGAAATTAGCGATGAGATGAAGTATAGTGTAGTTTGCTTCGACGGTTGGGCGTGTCAAGCGGGCTGAGCCTGGCGCGGTGCCAAACCCGCTCTCCACCAGTTTTCGAAGCGAGCAAGTGATATGACTTTATCGTACCATATTATATGTATTACTCGTTTCTGCCACTTTTGTCGCATGCGCGCTTCAACAAGAAGGCAGGAACGGCTTTGACGGGGTGACACTCTCATACTGCTTGACACGCCCAACCGTCCGCAACGAACTAGAGTATACGTGGTCGTGCATATGTGTGAGGCGGAGAATCGGTATAATGTCCACTTATTGTGATGTAAACGCACATTTTCACCAATTACAAGCGGTGGTGGACAATGACTAGAACACTCCAGGATAATAAATCCATCAGCCATTAAGTTTTAGCTGGTATTTCACTTTATTTATCCTTTTCAGGGGTTTTCTGCGGTATAAGGCGCACCTTCACCTCAACGTGTACGTCGGCCTGTTCCTCTGCGAAGCCTTCGTTATTTTCTATTGAAAATTATTCGGTTCAGTTGGAAGTGACTAGCTAGTGACAAGTGTCAAAAAGTCAAATGCCCGTGATTTTATCAATGTTTAGTTTCATGCCATTACTTAACAAATGGTTTCATTAATACTCGGTTTCGGAGCTTTTCTAATCTTTTAATCTCGACGAATAGTCGAATAACTGTTGTATTAACATATTTAACACATTGAACGCCGCGTGAATTGTAGGCAATACACGCGCATACTCGCGTTTGTGTATTGCCCACAATTCACGTTTTGTGGGTCGGTATTTTCGTGGATAATAGTGCGACTTGAACCATTCTCACCGAGTATATGTTCAGTGAGCTGCTTTGTTCTTGATGGCGTGAAATAAGCTGCTCATTGAAGTAATTCATTAATATTACAAAATAACAGTCAGTAATTGAGTGTTATTTTAATTCTTATGATAGCTCCGCATCACTACAATGGTAGTAAGACTACTAGTGATAATTAGTGTTAATTTGCAATACATTTGATAGTGTTTAATTCATTATGATAACAATACTTATGTTGTCAAAACTGACGTTTAGATCTTCTACGTTGTCCAGATCCATCTATGCAGCTAAAAGAAGTCATCATTCATATGAACAATGTAGAAATGAGCGCAAAAGTAACCAGAATGTGCGTGTAAAGGGGCATGCGGCACAAAGACTCCCGTTTCGTTTGTGTATTGCACGCAATTCACGCGCGCGGAGACGCAGGAAGTGAAAACGGGAGTCGCCGCAAAAACGCCGCGGCGTTCAATGTGTTAAGAACCATTTAGAATATGAGAAGACGGAAAACACACTAAAAGACTAGCAGGTTCAATATTAAGAAAGTTCCTTGTAAGCGTGTCTGTTTCTGCGACCCCGCGAATAAAAGAGATCCAAGAAAACAGGGTGACTCAAGTCTTTCAGTTAAGTTTTCAATATTCACTATAATTGGATCGGTTTTCTGCTATGTCCTCCATTCACTGAG